GACTTGCTCGAAGCAAATATTCAGAAGACGATCTAGAATAGAGCGATCCCAATTCAGGATTGATGCAAAACCAAGCCTCACAAAGACATTAGAATTCTGCCCCAGTGCTTTATTTCAAATATCAGATATATGACAAGACTAATTTTTGGACATCCATTCGATCAAAGTAATGAAAGAGATATTTTGATGATGAAATGAGTTTGCTTGATTTTACATGATAGTAAGCATCTACACTGCTAGTCAGCAATGAGAAGTAATACATAACCATGCATGCTAAAAATTCCACCATAGATGCACCGAAGCATAAGCTGAAAATTCAAAACAAATTTTCCAAAACATTTTTTTTTTTAAAGAGAACCAATCAAATATCAACAACTCATTTCTCATACAGATGAAATTCATTCAACATAATAAGAAACTCAAAAAAACTGAAAACAGAATCATAAAATTATGAATATTTTTTAGAGGCTCTGATTGTGCATTTGTCAAACAAATGGGGTAATAAAAAAAAAACTATGGTAGCAAATTAAAAAAAAAAAAAAACAAATGGGGTAACAGAAACAGAAACGGAAGTTTCTAAAGGATGATCAGTTTCACAGTAGCAAAGCAAATATTAATAAAACCAAGATTAATACCAATCCAAAATGGAATTTGAAACATGGAAATAAAATAAAAAGAAACTGCCCCACAACAGTTTTGTCCCTTCAAAATGCTTAATTTGTATTTAACCCTTCAAAATGCTTAATTTGTATTTAACATTGTCGCAGCCGACAAGAACTCAATATTTAAGTAAAGCTGAAATTTTCAATTTTTTATGATAATTTCAGAAAAAAAAAATCATCAGATTTAATTAATTTAATCTTTTTTTAATCAAATTCAGGATTCAATCATTTACGGTAACTACACAAAATAGCACCTTTTCAATCGATATGTAACTAGAGAGCTACAGTATTTCAAAAATGAATTACATACATAAATCATCGTGATCTTCTATAACATAACGTCTTATAATTTCAATGATCTTGTTGAATGTCTATTGTAGTTTGCTAATTGAACGGTAGATCTATTGTCGTGAATTATATATTACTTTCGCGAACAAAGAGGCCTATAAGATTAAAATAATCCAACCAAAAATTGATAAGGATAAACAAAGTTGCATAAATAAAGTTGCATAAATCTTATAAACTTAGCAACAATTGCAAAATGGGTAAAAAGTTTGGAAGAGTTTTGAATAATCTTTCATGAATTGTAATAAAGATTGATAGCTTGAAATGATAGAGAAGTGAAACAAGTGTGCTCTGTCTTGCCATGAATGAAATACTGAAAAACTTGAAGCAACATAAAAACTTTGACAACCCAATATTTAACGATACTAACCTTTCGATTGGCATTTTCTTTTAAATTCTTCGTGCTTGCTATTTTTTAGTTGCGAATGATGACTACCAACACAGGAAAAGGTCTGGTTCCCTGCCGAAAGAGTAAGGAAACGAGTCTGGTAAGAACGACTGATATAAGTATAGCAAATATGTGCTAAGTATAGCAAATATGTGCTCTTTGCTCTTTTTATTTTATGTACGAGTTTGTAAGGCCTGTTTCACAGGGCTCACATCTCATATTGTTTTAGTTTTCAAAGTTTGCATTGACTTTATTCCAAGCATGATGCTATTCTGTTGGTCTGGCGAATTTTTTGTTTTTGTTCTTTGTTTTAAAGACGTAAAATCATGATGCCTATATAAAAATTAAAATAAAAGAATCCCAGTAACCTTATTAAAATTAAATTATATATTGTGGCTCCTGTTTTTTTCTGTGTTAAACCTACTCTTTTTCACTCTTTATATATTGCATTATTTTATTTTATTTTGTTGTTGCATTGCTTTTGATTTTTTTTTTTCCCAGTAAAGAATAGAATGTTATCTCACATTATGGATTGAATAAAACAATACTTCTTTCTTCGCATTTATCCATATCAATAGGAATATGTACATGGATTAAATTATGCATGGAGGAAGAAAATCTCAACGCAACTTATATAACCGTTCAGCCTTTCTTTGTCAAAAGCCCTTTCTCTGTCAAAATTTTAAATTTTTTTGAATTTTTTTTATTGCTCAGCTCACTTTCTCCTCTCTTTCTTTTTGTGCCTTCCGCTCGGACTGACAAAGAATGTTATGAATATGTACTTCAATAGTGATTCACGGGCAATTTACCCATAAACATAAATTCACCATTTAGCTTTATTACTTAAATTTTACAATGATTTTTATTTTAATTTTAATTTATCCAATATTTTAATTTATAAAATTATTTTATTAAATGTTTTAATTTACAAAATAGATTAATTAAACACATATAAAATAATTAAAATTTGTGAAAATTATTATTCAATAGGATTGTTTACAAAATCAGGATTTATTAAACACTATAGAGAAGAAAGTTAAAGGAGTTTGTTGAATTAGTTGATTGCAAAGAAACTTGTTAAACACTATTGTATAAATTATTTTATTAAATGTTTTAATTTACAAAATAGATTAATTAAACACATATAAAATAATTAAAATTTGTGAAAATTATTATTCAAAAAATTTTAAACACTATTGTTACAAAAATGAAAAAGTATTTAATATTACCAAAATTTATAAATTCAAATATACGATAAATCATCGTAAAATTCAAGATAGCGAAACAACCCATAATTTTATTTTTGAAAATTTTGAATTTTTATTAAATCAAACATCAGAAATTTAACTGCGTGGGCTGAAAGTGCTGTGTAATTTTTGTCTGTGCTCAAATTCCCGAGTTGGGCCCAAGCCCAAAGTATAGTGTTACAGCTCTTAACCGAAAATTTTCTAAACTCCTTAAGAATTATTTTGGGCATTAAATATTAAATTAATTAAAATAAATTAGCTGGACTGTGAACTCGTTTGAAATTTTCGAAAATCAAGTGAAAACCAAGTCAGATAGTTGAATCAGACCAAACCAGTTCGAATCGGAATGATCTAGAAACCCACCTACCTTCTTTCTTTTCCTCTCTTCTTCTTCTTCCTCAGCGCCAGAGCGCACGCTGCCCTTCCCTCCCCGTTTACGGACACTGGAACCAATCGAGTGCAACTTCTCGCCGTCGCATCACCCCTGCGGTTGCTCCGACCTCCTTTCCCCTCTCTCCTTCGTTCCTGGCGAGCGCAGCAACTGTCGGAGGGGTCGCGATTCAGCTCGACCATGAAGTCCCGCCTCCAGCTCGATTTTCCGGCGATTTCAAGCCACGAGTCAGTGTGGCCGACTCCCTCTCCTCCCTTGCTTCTATTTTATGGCGTCAGTCTTGAGTAATGTCGCCTGGATCGGAGAAGCCCAAAGAAGGGCGGCTGGCTGAAGGTTTGGAGGCAATTTCCGACCGAACGAGGCACACTCAGCTCAAATTGGTCATATATTTGAGGTCCTTGCATGATTTCGAGCATTTTGGCGTGCGGGTTGCCCAATTCTGGGCTGTTTGGATTTCTCCAGCCACCGTGGACGGCGGCGGAGGCGGATCGTGGAATTGTAGTCCGATTCTTAATCGGTACGCTCCAAGACCTATTTTTCCATTTTTAGTATAAATTCCATTAAATTGAATTCGAACAAATATTTAATCAGATATAAATCTTGTTAGGAATTAGTTAGTGGCATATTGTAAGATGCAAATTAAATTTGAATATTGGTAAATATATGTTATGAATATTAATTATAATTAGAAGACTTGATATTGAAATGAGAATTTTAGCTAATATTTATGTAAATTAACTTAGGAAATTTATTAAATATTGTTAGGGGGAGTTATAATCTAAGGCTTAGGCAAGTAAGTAAGATATAGAAATTATATATTCTAGGCTATGAGTTTAAGCTAGAATTTAGGATTTCTAAGGGGTAAAGCTTTAACAGATTGATTCTTGGTGGTTAATATAGAATTTTTTAACACATGCATAAATAAATGAGCTTTATACCTAAAGCTATGATGAAGAAGAAATGTCGTAACGAGAAGTTTCTTAATGATTAGAAGTCTAGAAACTATCAAATGAGAGTACTTGTAATTAACTTGGCGAAACAAGTTTTATTTATAAATTGTTTAGTTATTTGGTAATTAGTTATAGAATAAATTCGGAGGTTGATATAAATTGTTAATTAATTGGTTGGAATTATTAAGCGCATATATGTGTGTGAATTGAGTGAACAAATGATTGATGAATATGGTTACGGCGGATGAGATGAGTATATGTGAATTGTAAAAATTAACTAGTAAATTTATATATTCAATACTTTTTCAAGATTTTAAATAATGTTTCCTTGGCATTTTTTAATTGTAAAAATTATTACGGTATTATATAAATATTTTTTGTTAAGAGCTGAAATAATGTCCTAAATTAAATAATAATGCCATTGCAAAATTAATATATACTAAAATTTTATCTTAATCTATTTTTGCCCACCACTAAATATTAAAAATTATTAATATTTTTGTTTATTTCTATAATGAGAAGTGAGTGTTTAATTATAAGAATAAACCGTTTTTGCTTTAAGCAGTGAAGGAATAATGCTGCCTAATCTTTAAATATTAAGTGCCGTATTATATAAATATTTTTTGTTAAGAGCTGAAATAATGTCCTAAATTAAATAATAATGCCATTGCAAAATTAATATATACTAAAATTTTATCTTAATCTATTTTTGCCCACCACTAAATATTAAAAATTATTAATATTTTTGTTTATTTCTATAATGAGAAGTGAGTGTTTAATTATAAGAGTAGTTATTAATTTGGTAAGGATTGTTAAAAAGAAAATATAACTTTTTGTTATATAATTTATAATATTATTTTGATCCATTCAATTTTTACTAAATAAAAAAAGAAAAAATTATCTATATTTATTATGAAAAATAAAGAAAAATTTAAAAGTCAAAAATGGAAAACGAAAATAGTTTCAACTATTAACATAAATGGCATGATAATGATATAGAAATTGGTGTAAGAATACGTTCTAGCTCATCAACATAATGCGCCCAAATATTTTCCCCATAAAGACGCTACCACAGCATCATAGCTTGACCAGGTCTGGATCCATGAGATTGAGCCACAGCAACATTTCTGGCATAGTGGATTCCCACAATTATTACTTGGAAAACTTGAACATAAAATTATACATAAATTCTCATGTTTGGAATATTAGAATTCATTTTGAATTTGGATTCATTTTTGAATTTCTTAGCCTAGGGCTAGCTCGTACATCAGTTTAAATTAATTACTTTTTTGGAGTTTGAGCATACGGAAGAATAAGACAGAGTACGAAAAACACACTTGTCAAGTCTCAAGTGTAATTACATTTTCGCCTTAAGAAAGCACCTTTGACACCCCTTGGGTTAACATAAGCAAATTGCATGTCTCATACTCTTCCTACAGCAAGATAAAACAACCCCTGGATGCATGACCCGGCGGCGCAGTGGAATTGTGAGATTGGTACCGGTGAGGTGAGAGCTCGGACACGCCACCCACACCAGGGCATTTGAGAATCGAATCTAATTCAGGCTCGCTTGGACGTGTACTGTTGTGTCGTGGGAAACGGGGGTAAACTGCGGAAGTTGTTGTGTTGGGGATCGTGTCCGGGCAGAGCGGAGTTGAGCGGCCAGGCGTCGGAGATGTATGTACGCGATCGTAATCCGGCGGCAAGTTGAGGTCTGGAAGGTGGCGGGGCCGCGGGAGCGCGGCCGACACAGGCGGACGCAAGGCGGTGCGCGGTCGGCGCGACGGCATCACGGGTCGGGGACAGCGTGTGGCCGATGGACTGATGGGTCGCCGTGGGCAGTGACCGCACCAATGATAGCGCTGTAGTGACGTGTGGATAATGGGGGATAGGGTGGGGTGTCTGTGTGTGTTTATAATGTGGTGTCATTGGGTTGGATGTTGGACAAAACAAGTAAATAAGGATAACTATGGAGAAGCATGTCGTAGAGAAAATCAAGAACATATGGAGTTACTCTGGCAGGAATACTGATATTAGTATCTGCTTACCCGCAGTGATCGAACCGAAAGAGTGAGCGATGAACAAGCGCGTTCGATGCGTGAAACGGAGAGCGACGTCGTGCAAGCGACGAAAAGAGCAGTGGGGTGGAGATGTGAGATAGTGTGGGAGCACGTGACGTGATCGAGAGAGTTTGTTTTAGGAGGAAAGAGCAGAGATGAGATGCTGGATTAGGGCTAAAGAATGAGAAGCAGAAGCCAGAATGAAGGATGAGCCATGGAAAGGGTGATTTTACACAAGCAACCACGTGACCCGCGCTGGACGTCGGCTCTCCAGCAATACCAGCCCCATCTCCAATGTCCTCGACGTTTCCTGATAGCCGCGAAAGTATATGACTTGTGTCAAGATTTGATGAAAAATAATAGTATTAACCATCGATACTGTCCAGATATGTAGCACCAGGCAAACAGGGGCCAGGCAGACAGGCCGTACACAGAACTGAAGATTAAGTAAAGCGGCCGGAATTTTTAGTCAGTTTTTTAATGCATAATTCTCAGAAAAACAAAAGGAAAGAATTTCAATCAGAATTTGTAAATTAATAGTTAACCAAATTCAAAGGGAAGTGTCAACTCATTGACTTGCAAAAAAGTCGAACTGAATCATATCAGAAATTTGACAAATAATCCGTGAGGCACCTGTTTAGTATCGCAGAGCTTAAACAACAAACGAATAAAAAAATAAAGGGAAAGAAGAAAAGAAGGTGCTCACAGATTGTGAAGCGATGTTTTTAATCAAAAATTCTGACAGAGAGATAGGGTTCCTTTTTTTGTGTTGTTTTTGTTTTTCCATTAATTGACTCAATGTTTGGCAGGCGTGGTTTGTTCGCTTTTTCAGAACGGCGAGGAAGGGGAATTCGGGGCGAAGGGAGAAAGAAGATTAAGGAGAGGTTAGTTAGGTACTTAAGCAATGAAGGAGAAGGCGTGGGTCCGGGTCGTGGGAGAGAAATAGTGCGCGAGGAGTGTGGGGCCTTTTAACCAAAGCAAGTGGACTACCTGGAAAGTGGAATAGGCATTAGTGGTCTTTAAAGAGAGCTTAAAACCAACAAATGAAAAAATAAAGGGAAAAAGAAAAAGGAAGGTTCTCACCAATTTGAAGCGATTAATCAAAATTTGAAGAGATAGGTTCCCTTTTTTTTTTTTTTCCTTGAATTGACCAATTTCAGGCGTTTTTTCCTTTTTCAGAAGGGAGAGGAATTGAGGCGAAGAAGAAGAGATTAAGAGAGAGGTAGTTAGTACTTAACATGAAGGAGAGGCGTGGTCGGGTCGTGGAGAGATAGTGAGATGTGGGCTTTACCAAAGAAATGGACTCTGGAAGTTGGGAATACATATGGTCTTTAAGATTAGGGATTTTTTTTTATTTTTTTCAAATGATTATAAAAATAATTGAATAAATGAAATTAAAGGATGAACACTGAAATTAAATAAGATTTTTATTTCTTTTCTATTTTATGGTAACTATACAAAATAGCACATTTACAATCCATGTGTACCTAAAGAGCTACATTATCTCAAAAAAAGAATCACACAGGTAAAATATTGTGCTCTTCTGTAACATGACGTCTTATGATTTCAATTATGTTGTTAAATCTCTCTCGTAGTCTGCTAATTAAACGGTAAATCTCTTCAAGTGAATTATATATTACTTTAGCGCATAAGGAGGCCCATAAAATTAAAATAATCCAACCAAAAATTGGAACAAGGAAAAACAGAAGTGCAACTATGGCCGATCCAACAGCAAATAGGCCAACTTTGCTAATAATTGAATTGAAGGAGCTCCAAGCTTGAAAGATAGTTCCAAACCCATATGTGAATAGACCAACAAGAAAGATTGTTAATATAAAGTGTTTGTCTGTATCAACCAAAGGCTTGATTTGAACGAGGCCAATTAAACTAGTTATGGTGAAGGTGAAAACTTTGTGTACTGCATTTAAATTTTTCCTGAAAAGAAAAATGAAATAAAAAAATTATTAGAAGGCTTTAGCACATTTCAATTTAACTATATATATTTGTAATTGATAAGGATAAACAGAGTTGCATAACAAAGTTGAAATAATAGAGAAGTTAAACAAGTGTGCTTTGTCTTGCCATGAACACTGAAAAACTTGAAGATACAATAAAAAGTTTGCAACCCAATGTTTAATGATCCTTACCTTCCGATTGGCATTTTCTTTTAAATTCTTCGTGCTTGTTAGAGAACGCAAGAATGGTTGAGAACGCAAGAATAGGAAGATAGGAGAGAAGCTGCAATGACTAGAGAAGTTGCAATGAGTCCCTTTTATAAATATTATATCCTGCGTGTATCCTGCGTGTCTCTCCTCCCTCTCTTTTACAATATAGAGGATTCCCTCTCTTCTCCTCCCTCTATTTTGGATATAGAGGATTTTCTCTTTTAGGTTATATAGGATTCCCTCTTTTAGGATATATTGGCCGTTGATTTGCTGCTTCCATTCAAATTTTCCAAGCCCAACCTCATTACCTTGTTGTTTTTTTTTTTTTTTTTTGACATGACTTTTTTGTCTTGTTTTGACATGGAACTCATTATGCGTTGTTGTTAGAATGCATTGATACTAATAAAGGTTAGTAAAAAACAGACGCAAGACTTGTCCCACACGCCAAGACGTGGGACAAATATTCGTTCCTTGGAAAAAAAAAAAAAAAAAAAGGAATCCTGTTTCCTACGAAAGCTGGTTTCTCACTTAGCTGCCTTAATTATTCAATAAATAAATGTTTTTTCACTATGTCACTGTTTTCAGTCCGTTTTTGCTCTTTGCTCTCCACATATTTTGTCGATTAAAACAGTTAATGACAAATTTATGTGAAACAGGGAATGTAACTGCGTTTAATAAAAAAGAAGATATTCTGTTTGCCAATCCGTAAGTTCGCTACTGCTGGTTCTCTCACATGCTGCCTTTAATCCTCATAAATTAAGTGTGTTTTCTATGTGAACCAGGGAATGCATAAATAACGACCGAACAAAGACGAATGAAATCTTCACTTTCTATTTATGTCCGTCGATGATTAGTGAAATTAACATTGAATTATTAGATGCCTTAGTACAGAGCGAGTAAGTCACTAACTGAGGCCAAATCTGCAACTGATTGGAAAAACTTAATTTCAAAAAGAAAAATTTGTGGTAGATACACGACTTACCATAAATACAAACATTTGCTCCAATGGCAACCAGACCTTTCGCTCGTCACAGAGACGTTGTGCAAATCAACCTGGTCCTACAATCTCACAACCTGGTCTACAATCTCTGCAGTAGTCAGATGTCTCTTCAAACCCATCCTAAAAATTGGATTATGCATCAAGAAGATGTACCTTGTAGAAAGTAACAATAGCAATGATACAGATACAAATAAGAAAGATATAAAGCTTACATGCCAGTGTAGGAGAACTGACAATTCATGGCACAGCCCACTTGACTTGAAACACAAACTGTCGTCCTACCTCTATCACAAGGTATAACGACTGTTTCAATTACCAGTTCATCATCCAACCTAATAAAATCTGCAAGCGCCTGTGAGTTTCAAAACCAATGACAAGATAATGCAACGGCTAAAAGCAAAATATCGAACCAGAATAAAGTGACTTCGAGACCAAAAATACAACAGATAATGGTTTTGGCTACCTTCTTAGTTCCATCGGATGCAGTACGAACATCTTCCAGATATATTGCCTTACTCGTGTTCACTCAACATTTTCCTAAAATCCTCAACATTGTTTGGCTACCTTCTTAGTTCCATCGGATGCAGTACGAACATCTTCCAGATATATTGCCTTACTCGTGTTCACTCAACATTTTCCTAAAATCCTTATTCAAACCTGAATAAGGTTATCAAAGACAAATTCATAAGGCTCAGCATGTCTCTGTTGTTGGAAGAGAGATTCAATGTTGCACATAGATAGGGAAATCAAAGGGAGATAAAATCATTTAGCTCACTGACAAGGCTATAAAACCAGACAACAGATAGCATTTCAGAGACAAGGTGGTGTAAGAATAAGTTCATCAACATAATGCGCCCAAATATTTTCCCCATAAAGACGCTTCCACAGCACATAGCTTCACCAGGTCTGAATCCATGAGATTGAACCCATTTCTGGCATAGTGGATTCCGCCGTCTACGGTGGCCGGAAATCGACCATAGCCGGAATTGAGCAACATTTATACCAAAATGCTCGAAATCTTATGGGGACTACGATCGCGAGATCCCCTTGGACTGGGCGTGCCTATTTTGGCCGGAAATGACCCCGACAGTGGCTTGCCACTGCCGTCCATGGCGTTTCCGTCCGTTGAGCCCTGTCGCCGAGATCAATGGAAGAGAGAGAGAGAGAGACTCGCCTGGAATTGAGGAGTCAAATCGGTGGTCTCCTCGTGGAGTGTCTTCACCGGCGTCGACGGGATTCGCCGATAAACGTGTCGCGGCGGCGTTGAAGTATTCTGGCTCGATTTCTTCCACCCACGCACTCAATCGCGCAACCTGAGGCTACAATGAAGCTTCCCTCGTCGAGAAGATGGATTCAGGCTATGGCTGCGCCTGAATCCGTGGCCGTTTGGCCGAACAAGAATTATATTTGAATCGTTATTTATTCAAATTCAATTCAATGAACTAAAAATGCTAAATTTAGAATTCATACCAAAATGGGGAAATTGGTCTTAGAACGTACCGATTGAGATTCGAACTACCACTCCTCGTCCGCGCGAAGAGGAGACCAATATGTCTCATGGGGCCTCGCAGGAGAATCGCCGGCCGTTCGCCTGAGAGGACGCCGTCTACGGTTGCCGGGAATTTAATAAAAATTCAAAATTTGGAAAATAAAAATACGGGCTAAACAGCTACGTTATTTCAAAAAGGAATTACTAAGGTAAATCAGGTAAATCAACGTGCTCTTCTACACTAGGACAACTTATAATTTCAATTACCTAGTTGAATTTTTTTCGTAGTTCATTAATTAAACGCTAATATTAGTACTCAGTATGAAGGAGAGGCAGGGTCGGGTCGTGGAGAGATAGTGAGATGTGGGCTTTACCAAATAAATTGACTATGGAAGTTGGGAATACATACGGTCTTTAAGATTAGGATTTTTTTTTTTTGTTTATTTTTTTCAAATGATTATAAAAATAATTGAATAAATGAAATTAAAGGACTATCACTGAAATTAAATAAAAATTCTATCTCTTTTCCATTTTATGGTAACTACACAAAATAGCACATTTTCCATTTTATGGTAACTACACAAAATAGCACATTTTCATTCGATATATAATCAGAGAGCTGCGTTATTTCAAAAAAAAAATTACATAGATAAATTGTCATGCTCTTATATAACATAACTTATGATTTCAATTGTCTCTCTCGTAGTTTACTCTTCTGTAACTTGACTTGTGATTCCAATTATTTTATTGAATTTCTCTCGTAATTTGCTTCCAATTATCTGGTTGAATCTCTCTCGTAATTTACTGATTAAACTGTAAATATTATCCCTTGAGTTTTATACTACTTTAGTTAACAAGGAGGCCCATAAGATTAAAATGATCCAACCCAAAATTGGCAAAACCATAAGCACAAGTGCAACTACGGCTAATCCAAGAGCAAATAAGCCAACTTTGCTAGTAATTGAATTGAAGGAGTTCCAAGCTTGAAAGATAGTTCCAAACCCATATGTGAGTAGAGCAATAAGAAAGATTGGTAATATAATGTGTGTGTCTGTATCAACCAAAGGCTTGATTTGAATGAGGCCAATTAAACTTGCTATGGTCAAGGTGAAAACACTGTGTACTGCTGCATTAAAATTTTCCCTGAAAAGAAAAATGAAATAAAAAAACTATTAGAAGGTTTTAGCACATTTCAATTTAACTATATATATATATTTGTAATTGATACGGATAAACAAAGTTGCATAAATTTTATAGACTTAGCAATAATTGGAAAATGGATAAAAATTTTGGAAGAGTTTTAAAAACTTGTGTGTACTGCTGTGTGCTGGCATTAAAAATTTTCCCTGAAGGAAGGAAAAATGAAAATAAAAAAACTAATTAGAAGGTTTTTAGCACATTTTCAATTTTAACTATATATATAGTAGTTGCTGTAATTGAAAATAGCGGACGTATACAAAGTCTATATATATTTGTAATTGATACGGATAAACAAAGTTGCATAAATTTTATAGACTTAGCAATAATTGGAAAATGGATAAAAATTTTGGAAGAGTTTTTAATAATCTTTCATGAATTGAATAAAGATTGATGGCTTGAAATGATAGAGAAGTTGAACTTGAACAAGTGTGCTCCGTCTAGCCATGAAAGAAACACTGAAAAACTACAAGATACAATAAAAAGTTTGCAACCCAATATTTAATGATACTTACCTTTCGAATGGCATTTTCTTTTAAATTCTTCGTGCTTGTTAGAGAACGCAAGAATAGGAAGATAGGAGAGAAGCTGGCAATGACTAGAGAGTAACTCTGTGGTCCTTTCTTTTAATGTAGATCACTTCTGTCGCTCTCTTCAAATCACAGTGGGTGGTCCTTTCTTCAACACTAGAGACTAACTCTTTCTTCAACACTAGAGAGTAACTCAACACTAGAAGAGTAACTCTGTGGTCCTTTCTTCAAATGTAGATCACTTCCTGTCGCTCTCTTCAAATCACAGTGGTCCTTTCTTCACTTTAGATCATGGGTCCTTTCTTCAAATGTAACTCTTTCTTCAACACTAAGAGTAACTCTCTTCTCTCTTCAAACACAGTGGTCCTTTTTCTTCATGTGGATCATGGTCCCTTTCTCAAAATGTAAACTTTTTTTCTCAAGACTAGAGAGTAACTCTGTGGTCCCTTTCTTCAAATGAAGACTTAACTTTTCCTGTCGCTTCTCTTCAAATTCACAGTCGGTCCTTTCTTCCAAACCTGTAAGGAATCATGGTCCTTTCTTCAATGTAAACTCATTTCCTCTTTCTTCAACACTAGAGAGTAACTCTCTTCTCTCTTCAAATCACAGTGGTCCTTTCTTCAAATGTAACTCTTTTCTTCAAGACTAGAGAGTAACACTGTGGTCCTTTCTTCAAATGTAGATCACTTCTGTCGCTCTCTTCAAATCACAGTGTTCCTCTCATATTTTGCATATGGCCACAACTAAGATTATAAGTTAACATTACTTTATATGGGCCGTTGATTTGCTTCTTCGATTCAATTTTTCCAAGCCCAACCTCTTTCCAAGCTCAATCTCATTACCTTGTTGTCAGAATTTACAGATACTAACAGGTAATAAAAAAAGATTTCAAGACTTTTACACAGGCAATATGGGACAATATTATTCTTTGGAAAAAAAAAAGGCTATCATTGCTGTCTTCCGATTGCCTTTCCAATCAGATTCCTACTGCTGTTTCTCTCACATCTGGCTAACTAAAAATCTATTTTCTCTCACTCAAACCAAGATCTTTGAAAAATAGAGATTAATACTTCAAGGATGTAATAACTCTCCTTCAAATATCTAATAGAGCTAGACTAGAGACACTTAAAAAAAAAATCCATTACAATAGCTACAGCAAAACGAATACAGAAACATACAAGGGTTAGAAGGCTTTTAAATTTCCCCTGAAAAGAAAAATGAAATAAAAAAAACTATTAGAAGGCTTTAGCACATTTCAATTTAACTATATATATTTGTAATTCATAAGGATAAACAAAGTTGCATAAATTTTATAGACTTGGCAATAATTGCAAAATGGATAAAAATTTTGGAAGAGTTTTGAATAATTTTTAATGAATTTTAATAAAGATTGATAGCTTGAAATGAGGAGAGAAGTGAATCAAATACTGAAAAACTTGAAGATACAATAAAAAGTTTGCAACCCAATATTTAATTATACTTACCTTTCGCTTGGCATTCTTTTAAATTCTTCGTGCTTGTTAGAGAACGGAAGAGTAGGAAGATAGGAGAGCAGCTGCAATGACTAGAGAGCGAGAGCTGAGTAGTAGCGCTTAGTTTTTTCTGATGACAGCGACACGCGACTGTCATTTCTTTGTTACTTTTGAGTAGTGGCGTATTACTACAGTAGCGCTTCAACTAAATCTCATATTTTTAGTTTTTTCTTATGAGAGCGACGCGCGACTGTCATTTTCCAGTCTAGTTTGCATATGGCCACAACTAAGATTATAAGTTAACATGACTTTATATGGGCCGTTGATTTGCTTCTTCCATTCAAATTTTCCAAGCTCAACCTCATTCAATTTTTCCATTTTGGTCTGATGGGCCGTTGATTTTTGGATTCAATTTTTCCAAGCCCAACCTCATTACCTTGTTGTCAGAATCTACAGATACTAACAGGTAATAAAAAAAGATTTCAAGACTTTTACACATGCAATAAATGACAAGAAGAAAATGCCAATTCAGTTTAGAAATAGATAATACTAAACTGAATTCAAAATGTCCTTTAGTATCCTAAAGGGTTAAAATCAATCTTAAATGACAAGAAGAAAATGCCAATTCATTTTCTTTGGAATGCAAAAATCCATTTAAGATATTGTGAGAGAATAAATGTTCGTTTACTAATGCAGCCTAAATTTCATAGAGGCCAATTCATTTTCTTTGGAATGCAAAAATCCATTTAAGATATTGTGAGAGAATAAATGTTCGTTTACTAATGCAGCCTAAATTTCATAGAGATCTGAACATCCATTGCGAACACCCAGCAAATGCAAGCAGACAAATTCATATGAACCAGCAAATAGCAATACAAGGATATCAGCATCCCAAATAAAAAATTGCTACGTGTGAAAATTGTGGCGTGAAAGGTTACTCACCAGTACTTGATCAAGCCATCCCAACTGCAAGTTGCCACTTTGCTTTGCTCCAATGGATGCCACTCGCACCCATGCACACACCCTCATGACACTTGTCCAGAAAACCTTACAACTCTTCCAGTCCCAAAACCAGCATTTACCCTCACCGTCTCCTGACATAACAAACCGTCCATCTGGTGAGAAATTTACTTGGCAGGCAAGCATAACCTGCCACAATATGCTCAGCAAACCGCTGGTGCACCTCTCCTAACTATTGCAATTTAGTTTCCTCTGAGAAACCTCAGGAGCATTTGCTGGGTCATCATCCAAGAATTTTCTTAGTTTGATATAAATCATTGTAATATTAGATGAGTTTATCTGGTCATATTCCCCAGTGCCATTGTCATGCATAGTTGCATACATTCACAGCCTGTGAAAGATATCAATGGACCACAAATGCACCAAAAAATAGTAGGCAGAGTGCTTTTACCGTCCACATCCTTTTTTGATCCCCTCGTGATACATCCTTTTTTGATCCCCTCGTGATAATGCATAAAATTGAGGGTGTTAATGATACAGGTTGAAAATATAATATCATATGAAGGGTTTAAAAGCACATCAAACAAATCGTTCTTGCCAAAACTAAATAGAAACAAGTCAGCAACTGGTAGTCTGGTACCACAACTAAACATGCTAAAGTAATTGACAAAGCAACTGCATACATCTATCTTTCTGACTTGCAATATCATGCAGTCAACATTCACAATGTCAATCATGCAGTTACCCTAACAGTAGCACAAGATATTTCATATGGCCAAACATATTATCAAATATCAAATAAAACTGAGAAAGGAAAATGTTTATCTAACCTGTCATTTACTCCTGCAAGCATCACATACTCGAACAGAACTTTGTAATTCTTTCTGGATTGGAGTTCCTTCCGAAGGGTGTCAAGAAGCAAGCTTAAATTGTATTTCCGGTTAATTGGCATGATCCAGTTTCTTACCTGCATGGTTTATTAGTTAAAGAGAAAGTCAACAACCTGCATGTGTTTCTCAAGTGAATAAACATACAGATATAAATGAAAATGCACCTCATCAGTTGTCGCATTCAGACTAACAGCTAAAGCACAATTGGATTCACGAAGGAAACGTTTCAACTGGGGGACAAGCCCGCTTGTAGAAACAGTTACCTTGCGAGAACTAAAATGAAGACCATGCTCATGCACCATAATATCGGCAGCTTTTATGACATTTTCAATTCTGAAGTGGTTCTCCCATTCCCTGCAAATATATATTTCAAAGCAAATTATTAGAAATTATTGGGCTAACTAAAAAATCTATTTTCTCTCACTTAAACCAAGATCTTTGAAAAATAGGGATTAATACTTCATGGATGTAATAACTCACCTTCAAATATCTAATAGAGCTAGACTAGAGACACTTCGCCAAAAAAAAAAAAAAAAAAAAAAAAAAAAAAAAAAAAAAAAAAAAAACGAAAAAAAAAAAAAAAAAAAAAAAAAACGATTACAATAGCTGCAGCAAAAGGAATACAGAAACATACAAGGGTTAGAAGGGTGTAAATGCGCATAGGTAGTGGATACGCAATCCATGAATAGTATTGTTGAACGGTTGGACAAGTATTCCGATCAATGCACAAGGAAACACATGGACTTAATTCCTCAAATTATGTGTTTTTCTAGGTAACCAGGGAATGCATAATGACAACAAAACGAATGAAATCTTCACTTTCAATTTATGTTGTTGATAGATAGTGAAAATAACATTGAATTATTAGATGCCTTAGTATTGGACTGAGCAAAGTCACTAACTGAGCCAAATCTGAACTGATTGGGAAAACTTCTGTTAATAGAAAATTTTCTAGATCACAGACTTACCATAAATACAACATTTGTGATCGAACCAACTTTGCTTGTTACAAGACGTTCTGCAAATACAACCTGGTCTACAATCTCTGCAGTAGTTAGATGTCTCTTCAAACCCATCCTCAAAATTGCATTATGCATCAAGAAGATGTACCTTGTAGAAAGTAACAATAGCAATAATACAAATACAAATAAGAAAGATATAAAGCTTACCTGCCAGTGTAGCACAACTGACAATTCATGGCACAGCCCACTTGACTTCAAAACACAAACTGTCGTCTTACCTCTATCACAAGGTATGACGACTTTTTCAATTACCAGTTCATCATCCAACCTAAATAAAATCTGCAAGCTCCTGTGAGTTTCAGAACCAATGAGAAGATAATGCAACTGCTAAAAGCAATATATCGAACCAGAATCAAGTGACTTCGAGACCAAAAATACAACAATAATGGTTTTAGCTACCTTCTTAGTTCCATCAGATGCAGTACAAACATCTTCCAAAGATATTACCTCAAATTCTGCGTGTTCACTCAACATTTTCCCAAAATCCTTATTCAAACCTGAATAAGGTTATCAAAGACAAAATTCATAAGGCTCAGCATGTCTCTCTTGTTGGAATAGAGATTCAATTTTTCACATAGACAGGGACATCAAAGGGAGATAAAATCATTTAGCTCACTGAAAAGGCTATAAAACCGGACAATAGATAGCATTTCAGAGACAAGGTGCTGGAAGAATACCTTCTAGCTCATCAACATAATGCGCTCAAATATTTTCCCCATAAAGACGCTTCCACAGCATCATAGCTTGACCAGGTCTGAATCCAGACGCTTTTCCACAGCACATAGCTTGACCCAGGTCTGACCACAGCATCATAGCTTGACCAGGTCTGAATCCATGAGATTGAACCCATTTCTGGCATAGTGGATTCCCACAATTATTACTTGGAAAACTTTAACATAAAATTATATATAAATTCTCATATTTGGAATATTAGAATTTATTTTGAATTTCTAGTCTAGCTAGCTTGGACCACAGTTTAAAATTGTATACTTTTTTGAGTTTAGTATAGGAAGAAAAGGAGAGTAGAAAAACACACTTCAAGCTCAGTGTAATTCATTCCCTTAAGAAGCACCTTTGAACCCTTGGTTAGAATAGCATTCATGTCTCTACTTCCTACACAAATAAACAGCCACAAAACAAATAAATAAATAAAATGGGAGCTCAAAAAACAACATATGTTACTAGGAAACGATTTATCTGCTGACCCATATCAACAGGAAGTAGTGACGATGAACAAGCGGCGGTCGAAACGGAACGACGCGCGGAAGAGAAAAGAGAAGCGGGGTGGAGATGGAGATTGGGCGGTGGCGGTGATGAAGAGAGTTGTTTTAGAGAGGAAAGAGAGAGATGAGATCGATTAGGGTAAGGAATTGAGAGCGAAGCAGATGAAGAGACCATGGAAGGGTGATTTACAAGAACCACTGACCGCACGCGCCTCATCCACATACAACCCATCTCCATTCTCTGATTTCTTGTAGCCCGAAAGTATAACATGTTCATTTGATGAAAATGAAGAGAGTGGGCCTTTATATGAGAGTAGGCCTGTCTCTGGCGTGGTTATATGTGCTTTTTGTGGTTATGGTGTGGTTCTGCAACTCACTTGAAATGCCTAAGTGCTACCCTTTATAGGAGACAGCTGATTTGAAAAATTGAAATGCCACAGGGGCCAGTGCTGCCCTTTGTATCCAATTCGGAGTTGTTGATGTTTATACCGATCAATCATAGAAGAAAAATTTAGAGTCTGCACCAACTTGAAATAAAGTTCTTTAACAAAAACTTTCCAGACCCAACGTATATAAATATTATATTATTCTAGGAATGAAGAGTTCCATGTTAAGCGGCATAAGGTGAAGTTTGTGTCTTTTTTTTTTTTAATTTTTTTTTTGGCTGTTTTTTGAATTCAATAGATAAAAGAATTCTTTAAGAAAGTGCAGTCATCTATGATACCGCGGTACGTTAACAAAGTGCGAGGGTGCTTTTGGTACCGCGGGAGGGGACTGCCATCTAATAGTGGACAATGCCACAGCCAAGTGATGCAACTAAAGCCTTGGCTATAGCAGGTTGCCAAGTGATGTCATTTAGGACGACAATATTATGTGCCTCATCGAATATTTACCCAACATTGACCGAATACAGATAAAACATATTCGATGAGGCACATTTGCTTCGTGAATAGCAAACTACTGTTTTGCGTCCATCTTATTTTTTTTATCTGGAGAAATTACTGTTTTGTTCTTTGGAATTAGTGTGCGATTTATCATTAATATGTTGACTGATGTGACTTTTGGGCCTTTGTTTTTGCCTTGAAGAAATTGTGTGGTCTCTCTGCTGTTAATTGATTAAGCAGCCATACAGAGTCTTCTTCTTTTATGATAATGTGCATAAACTATTTGCTAGATATTTTTTAACTTAGTTTTCCTAATCAGTTAAATTTCAAATGTTGAAATCTATTGCTCAGATTTCAGGGATAAATTTGTAGCAACTGAATGTTATTATAGAGTCTCGATGAGTTTTTCCTTCCCTTATAAATTGTTATTACAGGTAAAGTTTTCGACAGTTGAATTATTTAGTGCGAGTAAGTTTTTGAATTCTCAACTCACCTGCTCCTTACTTTCCTTGTGTGCCTTCTTCACGGATTGACAAGAATGTTATGAATATGTATTTCAAAAGCTGACTCTTAGGCGTTTCACCCTAAACATAAATTCACTATTTAGCTTTATTACTTAAATTTTACTGCACTTTTAATTTTTATTTTAATTCATTTAATATTTTAATTTATAAAATTATTTTATTAAATATTTCAATTTGCAAAATAGATCAATTAAACACCTATGAAATAATTAAAATTTATAAAAATTATTATTCAAAAAATTTTAAAAACTATAATTGTTAATGTGAAAAAATATTTAATATTATCAAAATTTATAAATTCAAATATATGATAAATCATCATAAAATTTAGAATAGAAAGAATTAAAGTTACAAAATTGAAGAATAAATTTATATATTTAGTGATTTTTCAAGATTTGAAATAATGTTTTTTTGGCATTTTTCAATTGTAAAAATTATTAGGGTATTATATAAATAGTTTTTTGTTAAGAGCTGAAATAATGTAAGAAGAAGTAATGTAAGAAAATGCTAAGCTGAAATATTTTTTTATTTTATGGCTTTCAAAGAAATAATGTAAGAAAATGCTAAACTCAATCCGGCCAAAAAAATAATCAAACAAAATCAACTTTAAAAAAAAAAAAGAAAATAATAAAAAATAGGCTAAAGTCAAAGGATGGTGTTATAGTTAAACAAAATATTAAGGGCTGAATGGGAATTTTCCCACGTGGGTTATATCTACATTACTTCAGTCCACGTGTGATTATATGGGTTGTGATGGGCTGTTGATTCGATTCAATTTTTTCAAGCCCAACCTCATTACCTTGTTTTGCTGCTGCCCGGATACACAAGAACTACTGTTCGCATAATTTGTAGAAAATGTCGCGAATACGTATTTCAAAACGGAAGCTTAATCAATTTGCCCATATTTTACCCTATTAAGTGTGTTTTATACGTTTTGGGGTTTATTTAGGTTTAATACGCAAATGCATCTTTTATTTTTATTACTTTATTACTTTAATTTTGTGATGCTGTCAATTTTTATTGTCTCCTTAAATGCTTCATTTTATAAAAATTACATTTATTAAATATTTCAATTTACAAAATAGATTAGTTAGATACCTATTAAATAATTGATTATTATAAATATTATTATTTCAAAATTTAAGCTAAACTACATATCGAATTGATATTTTGTAGATAAGAGCCAAAAATCTTAAAAATTATTGTTATTAATGTGAAAATACGTGTAATAATTAAAATTACAAAGTTCGTGAATTTAAGTATTCAGACTTTCTCAAGATTTTAAATAATATTTACTTTGACATTTATCAATTCTAAAAAACCAATAATTGATCAAAGTTCCAAGGGGTGACATCAAATGAAAGAATAAAAACTATTTAACAAGGAAGAAAAGAAGAGAATACCACAAAATTGCAACTAAAAAGCTAAGCCAAAATCATTAATTAAATTATATTTCTAGTTTAAATGATACAAAATATGAAGAACCCAAATTCTCAACAACCGGTACACTAAAATTTCAATGGAGAATGATACAATTTGGCTCTTCCGATCTCTACTCTCTCTATACCACGGAACGTGCAGCCCTCCAACCAGCAGAATATGTATTGTCTTCTCTCTATTATAACAGCAGAAGTGGGCAAATCAATTGATGTAGGAAGAAGAAATTAGTCCCTGCAAAACAAAGCAAAAGGTTAAAATGCTAGCTTTTCATTCAAGGAGGAACGGCTCTCAAAATGTCTCTGGCATCGCAAATTTACAAGTGATGATGCAAAGGTTATGATGTCTTCTGAAATTATCTAGAAATTAAATGTTCATAATATAAATTCCAGCTTATGTTAAATTCAAAACAAAATTGGCACATTCACCAAAATAAATGAAAATCTTCATTTATCCAATAGCAAAGGTTCTTCAGCTGCAGTTTATATCCATTAGAAAACTAAAAACCTTGTGGGTCATAATCAATAAACGGAATCAGGAGGAGATGTTGAATAATTGAAAGAGGAAATTAAGAGGGTTATCTCTGCCAAAGCAATGGAATTCACAACACTTTACAGAAACTTCCATTCAAAATGCATATGGTTTCATCTTCTTCTGCTTCCAATTAAAATATATATAAAATAACACATAAATGCAGAATCCGGATAATGTAATATAAGGGGATCGTGACTCTACAACGTGATTTTGAAAATTTGCAGCAGCACAACAACAGCAGCCAAGCCCTTAGCCACAAATTAGCTGGGAATTTGCACAAATACACAAAATCTTTTGTTTTCTTATGGCTCTATTAGCTATAGATAATACTAAACTGAATTCAAAATGTCCTTTAGTATCCTAAAGGGTTAAAATCAATCTTAAATGACAAGAAGAAAACGCCAATTCATTTTGTTTGGAATGCAAAAATATCATGCAGTTACCCTAACAGTAGCACAAGATATTTCATATGGCTAAACATATTTTCAAATATCAAATAAAACTGAGAGGGGAAAATGTTTATCCAACCTGTCATTTACTCCTGCAAGCATCACATACTCGAACAAAACTTTGTAATTCTTTCTGGATTGGAGTTCCTTCCGAAGGGTGTCAAGAAGCAAGCCTAAATTGTATTTCCGGTTAATTGGCATGATCTAGTTTCTTACCTGCATGGTTTATTAGTTAAAGAGAAAGTCAACAACCTGGGGTGTTTCCTTCCGAAGGGTGTCAAGAAGCAAGCCTAAATTGTATTTCCGGTTAATTGGCATGATCTAGTTTCTTACCTGCATGGTTTATTAGTTAAAGAGAAAGTCAACAACCTGGATGTGTTTCTCAAGTGAATAAACATATGGATATAAATGAAAATGCACCTCATCAGTTGTTGCATTCAGACTAACAGCCAAAGCACAATTGAATTCATGAAGGAAACGTTTCAACTGGGGGACAAGCCCGCTTGTAGAAATAGTGACTTTGCGAGGACTAAAATGAAGACCCTGCTCATGCACCATAATATCTGCAGCTTTTATGACATTTTCAATGCTCTGAAGTGGTTCTCCCATTCCCTTCAAATACATATTTCAAAGCGAATTATTAGAAATTATTGGGCTAACTAAAAATCTATTTTCTCTCACTTAAACCAAGATCTTTGAAAAATAGGGATTAATACTTCATGGATGTAATAACTCGGATGTAATAACTCTCCTTCAAGTATCTAATAGAGCTAGACTAGAGACACTTCACAAAAAAAAAATCCATTACGATAGCTGCAGCAAAACGAATACAGAAACATACAAGGGTTAGAAGGGTGTAAATGCCCATAGGTAGTGGATATGCAATCCAGGAATAGTATTGTTGAATGGTTGGACAAGTATCCCGATCAATGATTAAGGAAACACATGGACTTAATTCCACAAATTATGTGTTTTTCTATGTGACCAGGGAATGCATGACAACCACAAAACGAATGAAATCTTCACTTTCTATTTATGTTGTCGATAGATAGTGAAAATAACATTGAATTATTAGATGCCTTAGTACTGGACTGAGCAAAGTCACTAACTGAGCATTAGATGCCTTAGTAC